TGTCAATTTGGTGGGCCCCATATAATTTCCCACGAAGGGAAATTTTCCCTTGCCATTGTGTGTTGGCATTTTCCCTTTTTAATTTGCCTACCTATTGGAGAGAAAAACACTCTCTTTCCCTACCTATTGCATTTGGTCTAAGTACAAAAATTTTAGCGCGTGAATCTCAACCACAGAGATGTTGCACGAATTCAAACTGTATTATAGTCTATAGTAATTACTAATAACTGGAAGATGATTTATAACCGAAGATCCTTAGAGCATGTGCAATGGTGTTTTTTAAGCAAGTTATTAAAATATAAAATTATTAAAATTTAAGTAAAAAAAAGAAAGAGAGTGTTTTTATGGGATGTATTGAAATATAAAATTTGAGTAAAGAGAGGAGATAGTGGGTGTGTTTAAATATAAAATTAATAAAAGTTGAGTAAAAGYAAYAGAGAGTGRTTTTAAATAAGAARTTTTGGAGAGTGTTCTTAAAATGATGAGAGAGTGTTTAAATATAAAATTAATAAAAGTTGAGTAATATGATGAAAGAAAAAGTAAAAAGTTGAGTAAAAAGAAGAGAGAGTGTGTGTTTTAATAATTTTATATTTAAGAACGTGGCTTAAGAACACCCATTGCACATGAATCCAACAATATTTGATAAAAATCTCCAACTGTCTAATAACACAACTAAAATGAAATTCATGTACTGAAACAATTTGGAGTGGAAGTCTCTTTAAGCGAATGGTTAATGATTTTGCATTAGGATGTGTAGAGTTTGATTCCCTAGAAACACGAATTATTGTAAACTAATGGCGTTAAAAATCTATTGACGATTTTCACCGTGGTATTAGTAAAGTCGTTTGGCATGGTTTTATGTGTTAAACAATAATCTATCGTAAATATGATGCAAGTAAATTGTTTGCTGTGAATCTTTGTGGAACAGAAATGTCTGTTGTGGAATTGTATATGAAATTTTAGTTGTATTTTCTAGTCTTGCAAGTTTGAATTTGTTAGCCGAATTGATAAACCATATGCAATTTTTATGGAAGTTTAACAACTATCACATGTAGAATAAAACATTTATAAATTCAACAGTATTAGAAATATAATAAATCAATTAAGAAGTGGAGTAGTTTATTAATTTATAATAGATTTGACTGTATGAATAAAAAAATAAATACATTGTTTACAAAATTTCTCAATTATATGAATAAACTCTCTTGACAATAAATTTAACTTCTTACTTGTTTTTATTTGGAAAAAAAAAATCAAAGACTGCTATTTGTCATTCACAGATAAGCTTTTGGCAGTACTAAGTAACGTACTTCGTAACGCTCTTTGTAACGTATTTCATAATGGATTCTGCAGCGTAGCTGATAACGCATACATAGATTCTATGGTCAAAAAATTATTTCCATTTAAAGTTTAGATTTTCTTTTATATATAACTACATATTCAGATTTTCACAAATCATCCTCCATTTCTGGAAAAACTTCTGTAAAAAAACTTAAAAAGGTTACAGGCTGCCTCTAGGAAGAGAAGAAAACAACAAAAGAAAGTAAGTCATTAGTGTTATTTTAGTGACTATTATATGAGTCAAATCTAAGCCGAAAGGTTTGGAACCGAACTTTAATAAATTTTGTTATCTCTAC